ATATTATTATAAATTATTATAGGTTTTACTTACTTTTAAATGCTTTAATTGCTATAATATTATTTAGCCATGACTGACAGAGTACTACGGACTGACACTAAACTGACTAAACTACCAATGTCTAATTGTCTATAATGACTAAAGACCAAAATCAAATAAATAATAATTAATAATAGCAGAACAGCACTTAAAATATACTCATTTGTACCTATTACACAATCGTGTAATCGTGATATTAAATAATTAAATAATAGTGAATAGTTTATAAATAGCACCCCGTATTTATATAGAATTTAATTAAATAAATCCACGCCAAAGATATTCGTGGAAATGTTAACGTTCCGTGTAGGTACATATTTATAGACATCAAATTTAATTTTTACCTATATAATATATATTAATTATTAAGTGATTGATATAATATTAATATATTGTTATTATTAATTGTATTGTAATAACTAATAATTGTAAAGGGAAAATAAAATTATTAATTAACAATAATTAGCAGTATTAGCACTGTAATTAACAAAATTCAAATTTGTTATCAATGTCAACTTGTYATCATATATCTTGTATGTGATAAGATAGTCGGATGGTAAATGCGCCGTGACATGTTTTAAAATTTCGCCACCCGGGTATCTAGACACAGCGTAAAATATAAATTGTATTTATTTAAATAATGAAATATAATATTAAAAATTATTAAAAAATATTAAAAATGTATCAGTGATGCCGCCAAACAAAATGTTAAATTAATAACATAATATTATAAATATAGACTACTAAAAAGATTAATMGTACTATAAAGTATACTTACGCATTATATATTTATTATTAATATTAAATAATTAAATAACTATATAGGTATTTAAAACTATTATTATATATATATATATAGATACCTATTTAGGTAGTATGATATTATAGTTATACGCAAATAATATTAAAATAATTATATATAATATGATGTGTATTATCGTAATAGCTATATAGCTGCTTACATATATATATATATATAATATTTTATTATTACAGTAGTAGGTTGCAGTCTTGTTATGTTGCTGTAGCAATCGCAACATTCATGGTTTCAAATGAGTCGTTACTGTTATACTACTACATCTTGTTATAGTAATAACATATGTTAGTAATTTGCGATATGTTAGAAATAAATCGATAGTTGCAGCAACGTTATCGACACTAGTTCTAAGTTATGAATTTCGTTTTGCAATGATACAATGTTACGATAGGTTACATTTATCTTAATGAAACTTTGAATGTTATTAGGGTATATATTCAAGAAATCAACAGGGATAAATATCTTTGAATAAATTAAAAATGAAATGGATGCTTCCAAAATTAATTTCGTACTACATGCACTGTATGTTGCTTGAAATTGTAGATCCACGAGTTCCAACGCTGCGAATACGAAACCCGGTCAATATCACGAAAGCTCAATTTCTAATAAAAAAAAATAATAGCTATCCACATATTTTAAATACCAATGTTTCGGCAATAGCTTAATACCCTAATTTAAACCTATATAAAATACATCGTTGTGATCTAGATTTTTACAGCGTTCAAATTTACCATAGTAAATATTGACAACCATTATATTATAGGTAATACAATTTTTTATTACAATTTCTATTATACCTATTTATTTTGTTTCATATTCAAAAGCCTATTGCTTTTTTACGTTTAATTAATTAACCGATTTTTATTTTATTTTTAATAATGTTATAATAGAATTTATAAAAAAAATGCTTAAATCTTATTATTTTTTAAGACATATTATCAAGTTTGAGATTAAAATATTTAAAAACAAAGTTCAATGCGGCCTGTAGAATATTACCCTCTATGAGTTTAAAAAAAAATTATCAAATTTGATTAACTCTACAAAACAGGTTCATTATTTCCGTATACCGTGTTTTTGTATACAAAATTCATTGGCACCAGACGTCTGAAGTGACAACCGCAGCGACCGGATGACCCATTGGCCAGATGACCGGCGGTGGCGCGGTTCCGCGGAGACTGATTTTAGACTGCGTGCGCATTGGCGTGCGTGCCTCAGGTATTAGAGGAGGAGCCAACAACATTGAAAACGTCAAAACTCAGTTCTTTTCACTCAATAATTTAAAAGAATTTTGATCTGAAAAATGATACTGATTCGTAATAGTAATACCTGAATACTACCGTTGAGTTCAGCCAACGGTAGTATACCAAAAAGCATGTCTAGATTAGACATCAAAGTTACAGATTCATAACTATAAAACATAGACCTGAGAGTACTGAGTAGGAACTCAAAATGCAAAATTTCCATTTTTAGACGCTGTTTACTGGCAAAAAAGTTCAYCAACATGTTTTAAGTAGTTTTAGTTTCATCTTAAACCTAGTTTTAACTATAGGAATTCTCGATTTAATAATTTGATCAAAAATAGTATGGGATATTTCCCCAAGGGCCGGTTAGGTTAGCTAGGGTAGCTGTGTCGGACCTTTCTATTCTATACTATTTATGATAATGATACAATAGGTTATGCCTAAAACGTAAAAACTGAATATAACTTTGATACTTATAGGTACGTTATTATCATGTGCTTGGTACAATGCGATGAAGTCTGTCACCATTGGTTTTTTTAACTTGTTTACACACCAGTATGTATAAATTATAAATTATGCATTATTATTTATTTATTTATTTATTTATAAAAGTATACAACCTTGCAATAAAATTTTTAAATTAAAAAAAAATTGTTTTAACATGAATAACGTTACCGTCGACACAGTCCTAACGTCCAGAACTATACTGTTTGCAGGGGAGCTTTTGGTATGCACGTCCATGGTAGCTGGAATAACCGTACTCTTATATTTCTTATTAGCCAGACATCCATGCGCCATTCAATTGGTGACGGCCAACGTCTGGTCATTCGCCATGTACGCGGCGCCCTACGCAATCAATTTTATGGTGTGCTGGCATCTGCTGTTAGCTTTAGAGAGGCTGATCCTGTCCACCCGCATCGTAGAATTAACATCCAGGTACTACCTGACATCAAAAATAACTTTGAATGTTGCCGCGTTCGTCATCAAGCACCATCTGTTTTGGACAAGATCCAATTTATTCTACAAAGAGATGTTGTTCATCAGCCACTTGGTGCTGATAGCCACGTCAGAAGCCATGTGCTATGAAAAATATGAAAAAACGACAATACAAGTCGCTATATTACTGTTGCTCTGTCTGACCACTCTCATATTGGTGAGGCGCGAATTATACTAGACAGATAATTTATTTGTTTCGTTTTAGAGAGGGTGGGGCGTTACAAACTCGTTGTTTTGGTCAAAGAAGTTTCGTATAAGTAATATAATAACCAGTCATACTAAAGTTTTTATTCTAAATAGTTATAGTATCATACATTGCACGCATAATACTAATATTTCAATCTTTATCAGTTTTATCTATGAATAGTTTTTATATCATAGGTACATAATACAAATAAATTAAATAATTATAAAATCAAATTACAAAATAAATGTAAAAAAATGATAATTATTTTAAAGTTTTCGCCTTTGCGGCACTATATTACTATAATTTAAAAAAAGAACATAATAACTTTTAATGGTTAAATAATAGGTATAGGTTCAATATTATATTATACGAATGCAATCTAAAAACATACATACTCTACAGCTTAATGGCTTGTCAATAATGATTATGAAGTCTGATACCAATTATTTTCTAAATCGCCCACAGTTGTGTACAATTTGCAAATTATATTTTATATTTTAGTTGTTGCCTTAATAATTAAATATACGCATAAACCTTATTTTCATGACGTAGGGCTCGGATTTTGTAGCAAATGCTTCTTTTGAGGGGAGTGTGATAGATAGATAATTCTTATATATAAATAAGTTTTGAATCGTTCAGATTTTAATGAAGTAAACTTTTTTTTGCTTTTTTTGCTTTTTTCCACAAAATCTGCTTTTTATTGCTTTTCCCCCTATTTGGTTGTTTTTTCTTGATTTTTACATATTTTTCTTGAAAACTTAGCTTATTTTTATGCATACTATACGTCTTGGACTATATTATTATTACCAGAAATTATAAAACCGATGAAAAAACCAGTAATAAATATATGACTGATAAAATAACTGTCGTAATTGTGCCGAAAAAGTTTTATTTACAATATTAGTAGTTGTCTTTTTCTATGTATAAAAATATATTAGCACCCAATATAATGAGTTTTAATGAAATAAATGATTGTAAATTTCTTTTTAAATATTTAATTTTATGTGTAATTGAAATTTGCTTTTTTAGAATTAAATTGATAAATGCTTTTTTGGCTACTTAAAATGTTTTTTTAAGGATTTATTTTGCTACAAAATCTGAGCCTTACTCATGAGTATACTTCATACCTTATAAGTATACGTAATACTTACCACTTCACCTATTTCCCGATACCTATTAATATGGAGCCGTATTGTGAATTATATTAACGTATTGACAAAAGTTACTTCGAACGAATAACTCTCAATTCTAAAAGAATGGAATCTTGTTTTGAATTAAAAGCAAGAAGACTTCCACATTCTCGTAATGAATTCCGATTTTTATTGCATATCGAATAAGTTGTAAAAAAAACATTACATTTTCTTTTTTAAAGATATATTATTAGATATGGTAATAAAATGTTGAGATACGCTGTTGCGCACAGAGGTATTTTAAGAGCACATGCAGTTAAACAAAGTTAGCCACCCACCCACCCAATTTTTATTTATAACAAATATTTTCATTTATTATTCACTGTAATTCAAARAAATCAATTAGTATAGACTWTAGTTTATGTTATAAATTTTTTAATTTCCCTGTGAAACCTGCAKTAGTRCACACCCAKCCCCCTCGAKAACACRTGCAGTTGCATTCCTTGCTAACCTGTCTAGGCGCCACTGGAGATACGTAGGTAGCACAGTACAAACTGTAAATATCTACATATATTGATAAAAAAATCTAATTTGGTCAATGTTATAGTACAATACTATTACCGTAGAGTGTATTTTTGAAAACAAAATAACATTAGGCCCTCCCGTCATCTCAAGGCAGATATTGTTAATTTTACTTGAATAGTAAACTAATTAGAAAAATGTAATTTATCTTTTAAAATGTTTGATTATAGTAATTAGATATAGTTTTATATACGTCTTCATCATATTTTTATTTTTGCAATGTTATACAAACAAATATATAATGTGTATTGTCTTTATAATATAATATTACCATTTAAGTATTTACTGCTATAGCAGAAGACAGGAGATCCTCTACACTTCATAATATGTGAATTACGTATGTCAATATATTTAAAATACAGTTATAGCAGTAATAACAAAATTTTTTTTTTTCATGAGCCAAAACTATATTTTTTAATTATTGATACGTTGAAAATAATTAAAATTAAACTGTATTGATTATTATTATTACGTACCTACATAACATAATAATTTAAAAAAAAAAAATCAAATATCATATATTTAAAAATATTAATAATTTTTAGTTTTATAATACACTCAAACACTGATACATAGTCACATTATATGTATAGCACTGTAGTGGCCACAACAAGGCTCCATGCTACTCGTGAGCAGGGTCGTATTTAAGGGAGGGGCACATGAGGACCGTGCCTCCCCCATTCACCGTATTTTATTCTTATTTTTATTAAATGAGAAATTTTACAACTCTACGCCCCATCTACGCAAATTTGAACTTTTTGTTTGTGCCCCCCCCCCCTTAAGACATTTCTAAATACGCCCCTGCTCGTGAGTCTCGCGTGACTCTTGACACCAAGCTTAAAAGTAAAATTAATTCATATAATATAAAAACACAAATAAAATCCCATTTCTTAATGTGTACCTACCTGAAAATAATACTATGTGTCCCCCAACATGAATTTTTGAAATTACTGCCAAAGTACTTCTGTTCATCAACGTGTTTAAACTAAATCCTAGCTCAAAATTCTGATTACTCCATGATTTTCAGCAAGCTTAACTACATACGTAGAAACAAGAAAAATATGATCCGTAAAGCAGAACTGTTTTTATTATTGTTATTACTAATTCAATCTTCCTTGTTGTCATAYCATTACCTTAACCATATTATATATATATATATATATATATATATCTAATAATAATATCATCACACACAGATGACCCCAACAAATACGTATCAAAGGCTGGTGTTCACCGATATGCTCACTTGGAAACGGTGTTCACTGGTATACGGACTGGTGACAAGTGCGTGCCACAATTGGCTTAATTCTGGTAGTAGAGGCGCCGTCGATACGTTACTTCTAGTGCTGGTGGTACACGTGCAGCTGGTGATCCTGTGCGTCACGTACTTTTCAGATGGCCAGCAAATATTACGCAACATTGTTGGTCTGGGCACGTACAACCCGATGGCTGATTCACTAGATATATATTTCACGATGGACTCAATAGTGTCGAGAACGGGGGCGTACATCGACAGCCACCGCTAATACTAGTTTACACGACGACACTAATGTCATGACAATGAGTTTGCATGGCACTGCTTGAAATTTAATGTTGTAATGTGAAATGACGTACAGTGTTCACATTTAATTTGAACGCCACACAACACTTGACACAAATAAATAAATAGAGAGCATTGTGATAATGTTCTCATCAGTTATTAGTTTTATCTAAATACTTGAGACTACTTCTCTATTGATTATTTCTGAAATAAATATGCAGTAAATAATATTATTAGTTTAHTTTCACATATATTTTAAATATTTTTCGAGCACATCTGATCAAATAATTTTCAATAATCGAAAATTGGACACAAAAAATCAATATTATTGTAATTTAACTATTAAAGTGAAGTGTAGTTAAAAATGATTAAAGTAATTTTCAGTAAGATAAACAAATTTCATTTACGGTTTAATTTAATATATTCATATAAATCAGTTTCGTTGCATTTATTCTTATGGAGTACCTAACTCTCTTCTTAAAAATTATTAAAAAATATTATGCATTTGTTTTCATATTTCAATTTAATTATATTGCCTATATTTATGTTTAATTTCAAAATGTTATTACTTTCGTAATTTTATTTACGCTCAAAGTTGATTCTTAATTAGAGAATTATGATATTTTTTTGATTCTGATACAACAAAATATCTTGATTGAGTATGAAGTGGGTTAGTTGTTCCTTAGAACTTATTGTTAATTCACATTTAGCTATAAGAGGACGATACACAATCATTTGTTTTTTCCGTCTAACAAGTGCATAACATTGCAAATTTACGCTCAGCAGATCACGTTTAGCTCTGTTAGTTTAAAAATTAGAGTGAATCGAACTAGTACATCCAGAAAAATGTGTCATAATATATATGAAAAACCTTAGATACTGAGATAGGTATTAAACAAATGGAGATGTCTGGTTTATTATTTGATGCAACAACCAGACATGTCCGAATATGCCTGGTTGTTGTATCAAATGTTGGTCATACTGTAAATTGTATACACGTTATATGTAATTTTGACGCGCGAGTCCGTCATTGCATTTTTTACATTTAAAATTAAGACTTTTTAAAATACGACACATTGAAGTAACAGAACCTTTGTACTCAGTTCTTTTTTGATACTCGCCTAGAATTTTTGATGTGGTAGGGTACTCATTAGGGTGGATCAAAAAAATGAATCTTAAATATTAACTTTCTAATAGTTGGGGAAATATGTGTTTTGGTCGCTATACGCTATATATAAATTTCAATATGCCTATAGGATGAGATTAAGAAGTGCCGCAAGACATTTTAAATATAGTACAATTATTTTGCTGGTTTTATTGGGTTATTCTATTAACAAGTTGTCCTATCTTATCTTATCTTAGTTTTCAGCATTAGTTGAATACACAAACTCGATTTTACATTTAGTACCGCTGTATATTCGTACGTAGTCACTAGTCGACATTCGTGTAAAGTTTATAGTGTTTGAGTTTGTTCGTTAAATATTCGTTCAAAATGACTTGTGTTTTGACCAGAAATAAATTAAAATGTTTAATTTTTGGAGATGCTAAAGAACTTGGTAACAATGTACTTCCAACTTTTAAAGATGTTATGCAATATTATCTGTTTGTGAAACATAAACTAAAACCAGAAATTACCTCTAAAGAACCTAGTGTAAGTTCAATTGCAGAAATTGTAGCGGTTGATATAGAAAAGGTATGGCTAAAAGCATAAATTCCAATAGTATCTCATACACGTGTGTTGCAAATGATAGAAACGTACCATGATAAATATTGTAATATACTGAAGTCGGCAAAGAGTAGAATAAATAATGATAATTTAAAAAAAAAAATTGAAAATTTCCAAAATGAATCAAAAAACAGTCTTTTTGATATTGCGGCATGTAAATGTGTTGAGTTTAATATATATTATGCAATTGTGAAAAATCTAGAAAAGTACCAATTGTCGAGCAGGCATTTATTATAGATCAAAGAAAAACGAGAAAAATGATTATGACTTCAATTGATATTTCAACTACTAAAAAGCTCCAAAAAAAAATAATGAGAAAAGAAACCGATGCAAAGCGAATTGAAATAAAAAGTCTGTCAGTAGTTGACGAAATTAATTTCGATTCAGATGAAATCAGTACCGAAATTGATGATTCCGACGAAGATTTTAGATTTGTTTTGAATACTTCGACGTCACCTAGTATAAAAATCTCACAGATGAGACTCAAGTTACCAGCTTTAGCAATGGGCTGTGATCGAACTGGGGAATATCGGACAGATCTGCTACCACTATTGCAAGTGCAATACTTCAAGATGTTGGTATTATTTCGATTGATACTAAAAAAAATGTAATAGATAGAATGAAAGTTCGCAGAGCAAGGGAGAGCAAACGTTTAGATCTACAGAAAGTAAAAAATAAAAAAAATACTGGGACTATACTTCGATGGGCGAAAAGATAAGACTATGGTAAACCATAAGGAAGGAACTAAATATTACAGGCAACTGAAGAACATATATCGCTTATTCAAGAACCAGGATCTAAATACATAGGTCACGCAACACCAACTAACGGATCTGCCTTACAAATTAAAAATAGTATTATTAATTTTTTGGAAACAAATAATATTGTTACTTCAGAAATTGTTGCGATTGGCTGTGTTGGTACAGTTTTAAACACGGGTTTTAAAACAGGAGTTATTCGACAAATAGAAAAACATTTAAAAAAACCAATCCAGTGGTTTATTTGTCAACTTCATGCTAACGAGCTTCCATTACGTCATTTGTTTCAACACCTAGACGGAAAAACTTCTGGGCCCAATAGATTTTCCGGTTCATTAGGAAAACAGTTTGAAATATGTCATAAACTACCAATTGTTGAATTTGCTCGTATTGAAAGTAACTTACCTTATTTAAAAATTGAAGTTGAATTAAGTACTGATCAAAAATATTTATATGAGATGTGTCTAAGTATTTCTAATGGTAATTGTAGTATTGATTTATCGAGAAGGAATCCAGGGAAGCAAGCACACTCTAGATGGCTTACCACTGCTAATCGCATTTTACGTTTATATATTAGTATGCAATCTCCAACAGAAAATTTAAAAATTTTAATTGAGTTTATATTAAAAGTATATGGTCCCATGTGGTTCTATATAAAAATGAATCCTTTTTGTACATCTGCATCAAAACACCTTTGGAAAACCATACAATTTTCACGGTATTTACCTGATAATTTAAAACAAATTATTGACCCTGTAATTAAACGAAATGCATATTTTGGTTCAATTGAAAATATACTTATATGTATGTTATTTGATGATCGCGAAGACATTAGAAAAATAGCTGTAACAAAAATTATAGAAGCGCGAAAAAATAATGAGGMAGGCAAGATTCGTTGTTTTCAAATTCCTCCATTGAATTTTAATGCTAATGATTACTTCGAACTAATTAATTGGGAAAACAATCAAGTTACTGAGCCTCCAATTACATCGAAAATTGATCAAGAAATATTGAAACAGGTAAAATAAAATGTT